GATGGATGGATGGATGGATGGATGGATGGATGGATGGATGGATGGATTAGATAAATGGATGGATGATAGGTAGATGGATGGATGGATGGGTGGATGGATTAGATAAATGGATGGATGATAGGTAGATGGATGGATGGATGGGTGGATGGATGGATGATAGATAGGTAGATGGATAGATGGATAGATGGATGGATGATAAATGGATGGATGGATGGATGGATGGATGGATGGATGGATGATAGGCAGGCAGGCTCAATACATCAAAGGAAGCTAAGCCCTCTAACTTCTAATTCCAATGTGGAATAACATAAATAACATAAAGAGATCATCAATCTAGTGTTTCAAGTTTGCTGGAATAATTTTTTAAAAGGCTCTTTGGAGCAATTTAGTCCATTTCTGGTTTCTGTCCCTTCCAGGCTTCCATTTCTGCAACTAATTGAGTGTTTCTTCTCAGCATCCAGTTATTCCATTGCCTCCGGCATGAAGGGACGGGGGGACGGACGCTTCTGGTGGACGGTTTCTATGCCGCAGAACAAGTGCTACAGCGAGCCCCGGAGGACTTCGACCTTCTCACGAAGGTGCCACTGAAGCACGAATACATCGAGAACATGGGAAGCTGCCGCAACCACATGATTGGGGTTGGGCCTGTCTTGAATATCTACCCCTGGAACAAGGAGCTCTACCTGATCAGGTGAGGGGGAATGGCCTGCTGCTGAGACTTGCCTTCATCGGGACATCACCCTTTATGCCAGTGGTCCCCAACCTTTCTGGCTTTGCGGACCTGCTTGGGGGGAGGGAGGGAGAGGAAATGGTTCTGTGTGAGCAGCAGGTGCATGCATGTGAACGCGAGAGTGCCCGCCACTCCTGCAAATGGAGCTGCGTGCATATGCTCACCTTTCAACATTCAGCTCGAGAATTCAGACTCATTCTGTTCCAAAAAACTTACTGTTTATTGAAAAGACCGCATGGTAATGTCTGTTCTGACCTAGGCTTCCTTAGAAAGTGTATAGCACAATCTTAGTCCCAGCAAACCTTTTTTATTCATACGGCTGTGAATTATTGTCATTCCCAGTCGGAAAGGCTTCTCAAACAGTCTTTCAGAGGAGTGTTTACAAACACCCACCTTATCTCCCTTGGAATGCTGCCAGAGAACTAATTGCCAAACGTAGGGCAAGGCCAAACTTAGCACAGAGTCAAACAGAACTTTTCCACAGCTTTTACTGACCAGATGAACTAAATGCTTCCTGCAAAAGCTCACGTCCCGTTCGCTTCTCTTTTATGTCTTATGGGAGGGGCCAATCATCTCCAAGCCTTACTCCCAAGTCGACCCTGTTTTCTTAATTGTTCCTGTCTTCTGGCAGCTCTGCGCATGCGCACACTGGGAACAGGCTCCCGCTGTTCTTCTGCCTCGCTGATATCAGACTCCGGAGGCAGCAAAGAACTACCAGATGGCCCTGGCCCCCTCTCTGCCTCTGACTCAGGGCCCTCATCCGAGCCTTCCCCAGACTCCAGGACTGGCCCACGTTCCTCCCCAACCTCCTCATTGTCTGACTCTGCTGCCAGCTCTGCTGGCCACTGGTGGGCCACAACAGTGTCAAAGCAAAACTAACTCTGAGGTTCCCAAACACCAGTTCGTAGAATTAAACAATAATTTCCCCCAGCCAAACCCCCAACCTCTCACATAGTCCATGTAAACAAGTTCACTTTGTTATGGGAACCATCTACTTCAACTCCACACCTTGCTATAATGTCCTTGAAAAGGATTCAGGCTCTCATCATCTTCAGCAGAATCATGGAGGTTTCGTTTCTCCATTTAACCAATTCTAAAGCAACAACTCCCCCTCCGTACTCTAATGGCAAGTTGAAACCAAGAGGCACGTAACTGCCAAAGTTTCATACTTGACACGCCTGCCACTTGTGCGGCCTGGTTCTGAATGGGCCATGACCCAGTACTGAGCCACGGGTTGGGGGTTGGGGGCCCCTGCTTTATGCCATAGAAGAATCTGCTTGTTCCTGGCTCAGCCTATGATGTGAATCTATTGTCAGCGCTTCAAGCTGCATTTACTCTAGCGCTAACATAAGAAGAAGAAGAAGCGGAGGCATCTGGAAAGGGACGTTTGACTTTTCACCTACTTATTTTCCCTGGAGATAATATCCCCTAGGAGATGGGATGGGAGGGGGGAAATTCCTTGAGCTGGGGCGGTAAATTAGGGGTAGAGTGACTTGGAAGATGGCCAATGAGTGCAGGGGAGTGGGGAACGGAAAGGGAGGGTTTGGGGTCTGGAAGTCAGTGTTGGCCGCAATTGGAGTCAGATTCAGAATGTCGTGCTTAATAAATGGGAGCTTTACTTCAAAGACTTTGTTTGAAATGCAATTTATTTGAGACGACCTCGAAACCTGACTTCTATCTCTGTTGTGGCCTGTCAGCCGCTGGCTACTCCAGCAGCCAAATCAGAGGAGGAGGAGGAGATATGGGAGTCAGGGTCAGCACCAAGGCAACCTGGGAGCTCCGAGGGGCAAGAGGGAATGGAGCTGGCAGAGAGAGAGAGACAGAGGCAGAACCTGTGCCGTCCGTCAGCCCCCAGATGGAGAGTCAACAGCCCACAGGTCTGAAGGTGGCTGATGAGGAGGAGGAGGAGGAACAGCTGGGTCCAGTGCCTGATGCACGGCTGTGCAGATAGCAGAGGAAAGGAGAGCAGTGGAAATCTATGGGCCGGTCCTTGGGATGGAAGAGCCACCACTGCTAGTGAAGCCCTACCCTAGCTCTGGGGATAAAAAGCAAGGGGCGGAGAGGAATAGATGTGGCAAAGACAGCTATTCATCTTCTGGACGGACAGACTTGTTAGCCTGCGAGAGAAACTTTTTGCCAGGGCTGCTGATGCTCCCAATAAAGGAATCTTTGAGTTAACTTCAGAGGGTTTGTCATGTTTGGGGAACTGGGTCAGCAGAACAACCTCTTGTAGGTGGTTAATCATGGCTTATGGCTTGCTACCTATGAACCTGCTTCACAGTGGCTTAAGCCATCCCAGAGCCCCAGGGGACTGACTATAGTGTATTAAACCAGCTTGATCGTGGTTGGCCAGTGGTGATTGAAGCTACTTCTTTGTAAGGGGGTTCAGCAACATGTAGTTCTCACTACTAAGGGCCCTTCCAGCCAAATGCATTTGACTAACCTTCTGTTTCTTCTTCAGGTACAATAATTACGACCGAGCTGTCATTAACACAGTGCCCCATGACACTGTGCACCGTTGGTATATTGCACACCGCACACTCACCACTGAGTTGCGGAGGCCCGAGAACGAGCTCTGGGTCAAACTGAAACCAGGCAAAGTAAGTTAGAAGGTGGCTTGATGGGAGAACCTGACTCAAGGCCCCTTTGAGCCCTTAAAACTCCTGATACCCTTCCCTCCCTCAAAACACCAAAGTTGCTCCCCTGCTTACTTTCGGAGTGCCAAGAGCCTTGGTGGCGCAGCAGACTAAAGTGCTGTTAAATAGCACCAGCTGCCTGCAATTACTGCAAGTTACTTACGACCACAATTGAGCCCACAATTTACGTCAGTGAGACATTTGCTAAGTGAGTTTTGCCCCATTTTATGACCTTTCTCGCCACAGTTGTTAAGTGAATCACTGCCATTCTTCAATTAGTCACACGGTTGTGAAGGGAATCTGGTTTCCCCATATTGACTTTGTCAGAAGATCGCGAAAGGGGATCACGTGACTTTGGGACAATGCAACCGTCATAAATGTGAATTTATTTATTTATTTATTTATTATTTATTAAATTTATATGCCGCCCCTCTCCAGAGACTCAGGGCAGCTCACAATACATTTAAAAAAAAAAAAAACCATTCTAAAAACATTTAAAAGGTTAAAAAACATTAAAAACCTTGTCAAGCATCCGAATGTACATCACATGACCCTGGGGGAATGCTGCAACGACGGTCATCCATGTGAAAAATGGCCATAAGTCACCTTTTTCAGGGCCGTTGTAACTTCAAATCGTCACTAAATGAACGGTGGTAAGCCAAGGACTATCTACGTAGCTTTCTTCACTTTGCTTCTTTTCATTCCTTCTGTAGGCCCTCTTCGTGGACAATTGGCGAGTGCTGCATGGCCGAGAATCTTTCACGGGATATCGCCAGCTCTGCGGTTGCTACCTCACGAGAGATGATGTGCTAAACACGGCCCGTTTCCTTGGACTTCAAGCCTAGGGTGGCTTGGGCCTCTGATGGTCGGGAGCTGCTGATTCAGGAATGGAGAGAAAAAAGTGTATACCTCACAGACCTGGCCTCCTGTCCCAAGAGAGAGGAGAGGTCCTCTCACCATTACTTGAGGTCCATCAAATATTGTCTATTGCCTTTTCTTCATTCTCCCCATTCTAAGCTCCCTGATTGGTTCTCCTTGGTTTCCAAAGCCAGCCCATTGGCTCAACTCAGGACAGATGGACTTGGCAACCATGTAAGAGACCAGTTCTGACCTCCAAGGTGCTACCTCTTGTGCCTTTTGCTATTGAAAGCAGCCCTGTCCTTTTGAGGAGACCTATGTACAAAACCATCAAGGTTTTTTACTGGACGTCCATTGTTGAAAACTGGTAGAGTCTCAAGGAAAGTTGAGCTAGTTCATTGGCAAGATGTGTTTGTTGGCGTGCCAGCCTTTTGAGACCTCCAAAGCAGACGGCTACCCAATGTTTGAAGGTTCTGCTTCTCCGTGTCTCTTCTCTTTCCTGCCTGCCGGTGATGTTAAGCTTGCCATATGATGGGACAGTGGCTTCAGAAAGCCTTAGAACAGGAGGAAGGAAGAAAACATACAGATCTGGGGAGGGAAGACAATATTAAGTCCTGATTTCCCAGCACTGTAAAAAAAAATATGATAACAATATAACTATAGCACTGTGTTTCTTTCCAGCTTAACTCTGTTGTCCATTCTTCATCTTGGTCATTGCTTCAACTTTCTCCAGCATTTCTTTGCTGTCCATTCTTTTGTTGGGAGGAAGCACAATCCCATAATTTCCTTGCTTTGTTTCTTTCCTTTGTTTCTTTCCTTTGAAGGACTTTATCTTTATGGACAACAAGAGGCCTCTCAGAAGCTGGAAACCGCCAACCCTTGTTCTGAACTAAAGCTCCAACAATCCGGAAGAGAGAGAAAGAGAGAAAGAAAGAAGACACTTGGTTATTCCTCTTAGCTAGTTAAGTGAAAATAATTGCACGTTTCGCTTTGACTGGCCTTCTCGGTAGCATTGGGCTCTTTCAGGCTCTTCAAGAAAAAAGCAAGAGCGGCCTTTAGCCGAAACTGAAATGATTGGATCAAAGATCTGAGTGGAGGCATTGCTTCCGCTAACTGCTCTTATCACCAGACCAGTGGTGAAATCCTCCGCGGATGGCCACCGTTTTGCTGTCCACGCATGTGCGGTACGCGGCAAATGCTCGCTGTGTGCATGCATGCACAGTGCACACCAAAAGCACGCTGCACATGCGTGCATGCACAGTGCAAACTAAATGCGTGCGGAAAAAGAAGGCTTAACAAGGTAAGTAGAACAGCGAGGGAGGATAACAGCTGTGCCGCGCGGTTTAGATTCCTTAGGATTTCCTGCTTTCTAACTAATATAAATGGCACGGCACAGCTGATTGTCGGAAATACTGGTTCAAACGAACTGGTAGCTTTTTTTTTACTACCGGTTTGCCCGAACCGTTACTTTTTATCACTACCGGTTCTCCCGAACCGGTGCGAACCAGTAGCATTTCACCCCTGCACCAGACCCTTAGGATTGAGCTCCTTGTCTAGGAACGAGAAGTTCTAGGTCATCCTTCCTTCTAGAGATGGATGATGATCATTGCTTGCCCCCCTGCCATCACCAGAGAGACTCCAGTTCCTACTGCATCTCTTTGAGCAAGATCCAACAGGGATGCCCAGAACTTCTATAGGAAGCCAAGATTTGCCACTCCGTGGAAGAAACAGCACCTACGAGAAGTAGCCAAAGCCAGTTTTTTGCCTTCAAACCAAATAAGAAATATCTTGCCTTCTTTGGACTTGAAGCGACATTTTCATGATTCATAACGAAGGATGAAACGCTTTACCACAATTTGAGATGCAAATTCTGTGGTTGAGTTGGGTCTTCCTGGGCCAAAACTTCAAAACTAATCTATGCATGAGTTTAGGAGCAGAAGGGGGGGGCTTCTACCTACAAGAGGGTCCAAGTAGACTTCATGAACAACAGAATAAATCTTTGTTCATGGTTGTCCTTGCCAAGCTCGGCCAAACTTGGTTGAACCCGTTGGCTCTCGTTGGAAAATTTCTGCTAATTAAGGAAAATCAACCCTCTTTCCTCCAGTATGTTTACAGCTGATCCCTTTCAGGTAAACATGATTTTTGTTGAATTATATTGAACATGCAAATCTGCTAAGGAGGAAACTCCAGAAAAGGAATTTTTGCAAGTTCTTATAGACATCAGGAAGCAGCTACCGTTTTCCTTGGACGGTGTTCTGCTCTTTGCAGCTTTCGAATTAAAGTAGTGGGGAAACTGGCAAGATTCCTCGAAGTCTAGAAGGATGCAGTTTTGACTCTCACTAAGCTGCAGAAGTCATATTTTGAACTGCAACATTTCCCGACTTAAATAGGGGAGCAGGAGAGAGAATGTTTTTCCAAGGAACTAGAATCAGGGACGGGCTGCTGGGGGTTCGCAGGGGTTCGGGAGAACCTCTAGCTAAGATTCTGTGCAGTTCAGAGAACCCCCAAATCCCACTCCTGGTTGGCCCTGCCCTGCCCACGAGTCCCAATGCAGCCCGTTTTGGATGCAGGTTAGTGCAAGGCGTGCACGGAGGCTCGAGGAGGGCACTACCGGAACTACCAGAAGTTCAGGAAACGGGCCCGTTTCTGGCCTCCGGAGGGCTTCCGGAGGGCTTCCAGAGCCTGGGGAGGCCATTTTCACCCTCCTGGAGGCTCGAGGAAAGCCTCCGGAGGCCGGGGAGGGCAAAAATGCCCTCCCACCGTGGTGCAGGAGGCTGACTAGGCCACGCCCACCATGGCCATGCCCACCCAGCAACCAGGCAGAGAACCCCTTGCTAAAATTTTTGAAGCCCACCCCTGACTCGAATCCGACACGAACACCAGCAATTTAGGTTTAGTTGAATTTTCTCCCTGAGATGGCTCGTGTTCTTTAAGGAATGTATTTCAGGTTTGCTTGTTCAGTGAAAGCAGTATTTACAGTATCTCATGAGCTCCAAGCTGCTGTCTGAAGCCATTTTGCCCAGCTATAGTTTTGCTACACCAGGGGTAGGTTCTACTTACCCTTACTACTGGTTTGAACGGGATCGCACACGCGCACGCTCGCTTCGCTCGCACCTTGCTTCTGCGCATGTGCAAATCGCCAATGACAACATCCGGGACGGTGGGCGGGGCGTCCCACCGGTTTTACTACCAGTTCTTGCGAACCGGTCTGAACCAGGGGCAACCCGCCACTAGGCTACACCTCGTTGAGTTGATGGTTCTTTGCACGATCTGTATCTGCTTCTCTCTTTTCTTACCTGTAGTTTTGGATGTCGTCTTAACTTGATTGATGCGGTAGCACTTTTTTGCTCTTAACACTCCTTAAGGACTCCTTTTAAACAACATTCAATTTTTAGTAGCGGAAGGCATTTGGTACTCGAGGCCATTTCTAACTTGATTTTCTTAACACTGTATGAATTTCATGACCCCGTAGAATGCATCGGATGTAGAGGTGGTGCAAATATGATCCTTGGATCAAGACAACTTCTACAGCTGTCTGGTATTTATTAGCTACTAAGTTTCAGGAATATATTTACTAATTTCTAAAAACATCTTTGCAAAAAAAGTACAGCTTGGGTTGTGTCCTCGGTATGTTTTGTAAGGACCGATGTGGCTTTGTTATAAGTAGCTGAGATCTCTTCATGCCCACTCATGTTTTACTCTAAGAACAAGATTATTATGGTCACCGTAATTGTAATTGTTTCCTGTTACTCTGCTTTTAATAAAAAAGTGCAATGATAAGTTTTTCTGAGAGGAATAGAAAGCTTTGTTTCAACTAAACGGATTTTGTAAAGTGTGGCCAACAAATTAAAAACACTGAATCATGCTGTAAATTGGAAGCCCAGAAGAGTTGTTTGTGCGTAAGGGGGTTGGATTAGGCTTCAAAAAGAAATTGTGGGTTTCGAATTTGTACATCCGTACAAATATTATGACTTCAGCATCAAACTCTGCTTCTTGCCCCTGAGGTTTACAGGTAGTCCTGGACTTACAACCGTTCTTTTAGTGACCGTTCGAAGTTACAACGGGATTGCAAAAAGCAACTTATGGCCTTTTTTTCACACTTAACGACTGTTGCAGCATCCCTACGGTCACATGATCAAAATTCAGATGCTTGGCAACCGACTCATATTTATGACGGTGTCCCGGGGTTCATGTGATTCCCCTTTTGTGACTTATTTTATTTTATATTATTTTATTTTATTATTTTATTTTATTTTATTTTATTATTTTATTTTATTTTATTTTATTATTTTATTTTATTTTATTTTATTTTATTTTATTATAAAAGAAAACTTCAACTAAGTTTCTACTTACATTAGCTTATTTACAAATTTTTCCATATTATATCCATCATTTTATACACCTTTGTTGTACTGACATTCATAAATGTATTAAACCAATTTATGTAGCTGCCTTTCAACGCATCCATGGGTGACTCTGGGAGGTTTATGTTTAGAAGAATTTGTGAGTCTTAGAACCCTAGGACCATGTCAAGAAAAAAGTGGGACAACGGAAATCTGGAAAGGTTATATGTTCTTATTTGTTCTTATATTTTCTTTGAAATGCTTTGAGTTGAAGCCTCGTGGTTAACCTCATCTAACCAGAAAAGATGGGGCTCCGTTTTCTCATGCCTCTTACCTGATCTGGTTCCTTCGCTGACATTCCACAAAGGTTTGTGTGACATTTAGTTATTAGTTTTATTTTTTGTTCTCCTCACCCTCTCTCCTCTCCTCACCCTCTCTCCTCTCTCTCCTCACCCTCTCCTCTCCTCTCTCTCCTCTCCTCACCCTCTCTCCTCTTTTCTCTCTTCTCACTCTCTCTCCTCCCTTTACCCTCTTCTCCCCTTACCCTCTCTCCTCTCCTCACCCTCTCTTCTCTCCTCACCCTCTCTCCTCTCCTCTTCCTCTCTCCTCTCTCTCCTCACCCTCTCCTCTCCTCACTCTCTCTCCTCTCCTCACCCTCTCTTCTCTTTTCTCTCTTCTCACTCTCTCTCCTCCCTTTACCCTCTTCTCCCCTTACCCTCTCTCCTCTCCTCACCCTCTCTTCTCTCCTCACCCTCTCTCCTCTCCTCACCCTCTCTCCTCTCCTCTCCCTCTCTCCTCTCTCTCCTCACCCTCTCCTCCTCCTCACTCTCTCTCCTCTCCTCACCCTCTCTTCTCTTTTCTCTCTTCTCACTCTCTCTCTTCCCTTTACCCTCTTCTCCCCTTACCCTCTCTCCTCTCCTCACCCTCTCTTCTCTCCTCACCCTCTCTCCTTTCCTTTTGTCCCCTCACCCTCTCTCCTCTCCTCTCCTGATTCAATACATCACTGTCCTGAAAGGACATATTCTTAGTCTATATTGTTGTCTTGTTTATTTTGAAACCTGCCAGGGCCCTAAACTTATTCAATTTTAAGACTTCTGGACTTGAACTCCCAGAACTAACTTCCCATGCTGGCTGGGGAATTCTGGAAGTTAAAACTCCACAAATCTTAAAGTTGTTAAGGTTGGATACCCCTGCTTTAAATCAAAGCCAAGGGAATTGAACATCAGTCAACACAAACCTGCTACCTTAAGAGACCACTAGTGGATGCGGTTGCACAGTGGCTAAGATGCTGAGCTTGCAAATCAAAAGGTCGGCAGTTCAGCGGTTTGAATCCCTAGCGCCATGTAACGGGATGAGCTCCCGTTACTTACTCCCGTTACTTACTCCCAACTTCTGCCAACCTAGCAGTTCGAAAGCACGTAAAAGATGCAAGTAGAAAAATAGGGACCACCTTTAGTGGGAAGGTAACAGCGTTCCATGCGCCTTTGGTGTTTAGTCATGCCGGCCCACATGACCATGGAGACATCTTCGGACAGCGCTGGCTCTTCGGCTTTGAAACGGAGATGAGCACCGTTGGGAAACGACTAGCACATATGTGCGAGGGGAACCTTTACCTTTTTAGAACTGGTAGCAAATTCCTAGCTAAAGACTCTAGGAAGATGGATTGGCTTTTGGCAAAGTTCCACAGCTGGTGGATTTTAGGACCTGAGAGGTCTTGAACAGATTAAAAAACAAAACAAAACTAGGTTCTCTACAAATTGAGTGATAAAATGACAGGATTTGGGAAAGCGGTGCCTAAAGTGGGTAATTTGGAAAAAAGAATTGATGAACTCTTGGCTCTTGGAGTTAGCATAGTTAATCTGCCTCCAGGAATGGATGGTTGGAACGGATAGTTGGATGGCCTCGTTGCCATCGAGTTCGTTAACATGAAAACAGAATGCAAATCTGAATAGACCTTCGACTTCGGAGGGTTTTTCTGTGTGTATATAAATAAAATTATTTGAATTATTCCCACAAGACAACCACAGCGTATTAAAGTTAACTATTTCACGCACCTCAGTCCGATCCTAAACTGACATGGATCATTCTCAGTTTATCATTTAGTTACTTCTTCCCAATGTTAGTGTTCCTGGGTTTTGGGGTGTGTTTTTTTTTTCTTTCTTTTTATGATCTCGGAAAATATATTTAGACTGACATCACACGTTCCTTTTAAATTTTCCACAATTTCATTTCATTTCATTTCATTTATTGGATTTATATACCGCCCTACTCCCAAAGGACTCAGGGCGGTGAACAGCCACAGAATAAAACACATAAATACAAAATTTAAAAACAGAATAAAACCGAATTAAACAATTTGGCCAAGACAAATTTAAAACACCCAATAATTTAAAAACAAATTAAATTCTCCACAATGTCCTAATGCAGCAGTGCAGCAGAGATATTTTGGATTAATAAGATAACAAATTAACAGAGTTGGAAGGGACCTTGTAGGTCATCTAATCCAACCCACTGCCCAAACAGGAGACCCTACACCATTTCTGACAGATGGCCGGCCAGTTTCTTCTTGAAAGCCTCCAGTGATGAAACTTCCAAAGGCAGCTTCTGTTCCATTGGTTGGTTTTTCTCACTGTCAGAAAATTTCTCCTTATTTCTGATCTCTCCTTGATCAGTTTCCATCCATTATTCCTTGTCTGGTCTTCAGGTGCCTTGGAAAATAGCTTGACACCCCCCCTCCTCTCTGTGGCAGCCCCTCAAATATTGGAACATGTCTCCCCTGGTCCTTTTCTTCATTAGACTAGCCATGCCCAGTTCCTGTAACCGTTCTTCATATGTTTTAGTCTCCAGTCCCCTAATCATCCTGGTTGCTCTTCTCTGCAATCTCTAATTATTTAAAATGATGGCTTATATCAAACTGGGCCTAATACAGGAAGTCACTGATTTACGACCACAATTGAGCCCAAAAGTTCTGTTGCTAAGTGTTGTGGCCCGTACGCGGCCTGTGCAACTAGTAGCTGATTCAGACAGTGAGGAGGCTGGTGTGGTGCTGCGCTAGCAGCCTGTGCAGTTGGCACTCGAGTCGGACAATGAGGAGGCTGGAGAAGATGTGGTGCCAGAGGTGGGGATTCAGCCAGGGCCTTCAGAACCTCCAGAAGCTCCCTTAAGTGAAGAGGACGAGGAGGAGCCTCTTCTCGATGCACGGGTGCGCAGAGCTGCCAAAAGACAGGAGTGGCTCCTCCTTAGGAGGAGGTGTCCTCGAGAGTAAAGCTTGGGGCTAATTGGCCACTCCCTTAACCTATTTAAGGAGGAACGCTGATTGAAGCAATTTGCAGGGAACAACTTTGTGCATATACCTTCGTGTCTTGTCTTGCTTATCTTATCAGCTTCCTGCAAATTGCTTCTGGGCATTCTGCCAACCATAGTAAGCTTTCAGTTATTATTCTTTGAATTCTTGGCGGCTGTTAATGCAGTTAATTAACAGCTGTTGTTGTAAAAGACTGGTTTATTTAGTAAACTAAAGCTTGAACGGACTTTATGTGTGCTGCGTTCTTTGGGGTCCATAGCTGGGGCAGAACACTAAGCAAGATGGTTGTTAGGTGAGTTTTTCCCCATTTTATAATCTTTCTTGACACAGTTGTTAAGTGAACTGCTATAGTGGTTAAGTTAGTAACACGGTTATTAAGTGAATCCGGCTTCCCCATTGACTTCGCTTGTCAGAAGGTCACAAAAAGGGATCACAACCATGAGGGGACTCTTGCAACCGTCATAAATATGAACCAGTTGCCACGTGTCCACATTTTGATCACATGATAATGGAGGTGCTACAACAGTCGTATGTGTGAAAAATAGCCAAAGCTCACTTTTTTCAGTGCCATTGTAACTTCGGTCACTAAACAAATGGTCCTAAATCAAGAACTAACTGTACCCAAGATTCCTGCCAAGAAAAGATGGTTCCAAGCTGGAAATACCCATGAATCCCCAAGACAAAGGTTAGCTCGAGGCCAGCTTTAACCGCAATTGTTTGCAATAACGTTCATTCAGCATTTTTAAAAAAATAAGAATGGAGTAAGTTCCTCTTAATTCCTCTTAAGCGGTGCTGAGGTGGAAAGGAAAAAGAAGAAAAGAAAAGTGTGCCAATTTAGACCTGATCATATGGCCACTCTTTGCAAAAAAAAAAAGAAGAAGAAGAAGAGTGAAGCAACTTCAAGCAGCTTGCTCTTAACAAATCACCAAAAACCACAAAACCCTCCAACACAGCAAGAAATTTCCTTGTACTTTGATTCTTGGTGTGAATGTCTTGCAGGTGCCAGACCGAACAGTTTCAAAGGGCATCAGCATCATCTGACAGGGTTTGAGGAACTTCCAACTATAAGCCTGAGAAGCATATTTTTTTCTTTTTCTAATGAAGCTATGACCACCCAGGTGAAGAAGAGAAACTGGTTTGCACCTGGGGGTGCTGTTGATACATTTGAGTATTAAAGGACGTATGTTCTTTTCAACCAAGTCTCTCTTTGCCAATTTTCTTCGTTTGCTAAAAGCCCTCTGGATTGTATCTGGACTTAAATCCCCCCCCCCCCCCAAGCCTGCCTGTCTATCGGTTGTTTTATTTGATTTAACTCTTATCTAGATTCTCCAGCAGTCACTTTCAGAATAGAATAGAATAACAGAGTTGGAAGGGACCTTGGAGGTCTTCTAGTCCAACCCCCTGCTTAGGCAGGAAACCCTACACCACTTCAAATGGCTGTCCAACATCTTCTTAAAAACTTCCAGTGTTGGAGCATTCACAATTTCTGGAGGCAAGTTGTTCCACTGATGAATTGTTCTAACTGTCAGGAAATTTCTCCTTAGTTCTAAGTTGCTTCTCTCCTTGATTAGTTTCCACCCATTGCTTCTTGTCCTGCCCTCAGGTGCTTTGGAGAATAGAGTCAGCACTCCCAAGCTGCATTCACTCCAGTGCTGACATAAGAAGGAGAAGGTGGGGATATCTGGCAAGAGGACGCTTGACTTTTCACCTACTTAATTTCCCTGGAGATACTATCCCCTAGGAGATGGGTTGGGAGGGGGAAAATTCCTTTGAGCTAAAGTAGTAGATAACAGCAGAGTGACTTGGAGGATGGCCAATGAGAAGCAGAGCAGTGGGGAAAGGAAAGGGAGGGTTTGGATCAGGAAGTCATTGTTGGCTGCAACTGAGTCGGAGTTTCGATTGTTGTGCCTAATAAATGAAAGATTTTGATCAAAGACTATTTGTTTGAAATGCAGTTTATTTGAGACGACACCGAATCCTGACAAATAGTTTGACTCCCTCTTCTTTGTGGCAACCCCTGAGATATTGGAAGACTCCTATCATGTCTCCCTTAGTCCTTCTTTTCATTCAACTAGACATTCCCAGTTCCTGCAACCGTTCATCATATGTTTTAGCCTCCAGTCCCCTAATCATTTTTGTTGCCTTTCTCTGCACTCTTTCTAGAGTCTCCACCTCTTTTTTACATCGTGGCGACCAAAACTGGATGCAGCATTCCAAGTGTGGCCTTACCAAGGCATTATAAAGTGGTATTCACACTTCACGTGATCTTGATTCTATCCCTCTGTTTACGCAGCCTAGAACTGTGTGGGCTTTTTTGGCAGCTGCTGCACACTGCTGGCTCATATTTAAATGATTGTCCACTAGGACTCCAAGATCCCTCTCACAGTTTATTTATTTGTATTAAAAGATCTCAAAACCTTAAGTCTCTGTGCATTTGTATTCCAGGCCTGGATTTGGTTATTCTTATCTTAATCTGCCATGCATAACAAAATGAGTGTTTCATAAAGGAAGTGGCATATATGTATAAAAATAATACAGGTAGCCCTCCATTTACAACAGTTCACAACGGCACTGAAAAAAAATGATTTACGACCAATTTTCAGACTTATGACCGTTGCAGCATCCCCAGGGCCACGTGTTCAAAATTCAGGCACTTAGCCTCTGACTCATATTTATGACAGTTGCAATGTCCCAGGGTCAGGTGATCCTCTTCTGCGACCTTCTGACAAGCAAAGCCAGATTCACTTAAAAACTGTGTGACTAAATTAACGGCAGTGATTCACTTAACAACTGTGGCAAGAAAGGTTGTAAAACAGGGCAAAATTCGCTGAGCGACAGAAATTTTGGGCTCAACCGTTGTAAGTCAAAGACTACCTGTACAACTTAGCTGAGGAAAAATAATAGAAAATTAGGTGCCTTTTCCAAAAAGTCACTGTTGAATTTCTCTGGCTATTTTTTTTTTTTAAAAAAGATGTTTTTTATTGGTGTGATTCTAAAACTAAGAAAGACAAACTGAATCACTTCAAACCAGATTTCTTTATTTTTCCTCACCTCTAGACAGAAATCTTGCCAAACTGAAAGCAAACTACTTGCATTATTAAAAATACACTTGGAGAACTTCTAAGGAGGAGCTGTTTTAACTTTGTTTCTCCCACCCAAACTATCTAAACTTTGTTGTCTCTTGGTCCTCTGGAGTGCAGCTCCTTCTTCCTGGGAATCCGGACTCTATTCCACCCCATAATCCAAATGAAAATAGAGTAAAAGTAACCTAAACTGGATTAAACTACATGAAAGAAATAACGAGCAGAAAATCTTGCACGGAACCATGGCAAGAATTTTCTTGTTAAATATTTTTTCTGAACACCCGTGAGTGCAGAGCAAAAAAAGGATCGCTTTTTGCAGTTATAATTGTACGTTGCATAAGTGAGATTTTGCAATCTGATAGACCTCACGAGTCACCACACATATTTCTTGAACTTGCTACTTCAGCGCAAAGCATGTTAATACTTCGATTTTAGCTCTTTTAATTTTAAGAATCACTGCAAGTCTATTCGGATCTTTGTTTTGAAAAAGCCAAAGCATCCAATGAAATTGCTCTCCAGTAAAAATTATCATCAATTTCTCCAAATTCTTTAAATGAATTTGCGGGGGTTTTTTTAGAAATGATAACGTTCATCTCACCATCTCAATGTTAGATGGACATCTAACATTCAGCAGCAGCAGTTTTTCCCCTTTTTTAGTAATCTCCAAATCTGACATATAGAAATACCCCATTGTATTCAAACTCACAATAATTCTTGGAAGATTTTGTTTCCTTCCTAGAGGTAAAGAGAAATGTCTTCCAAGAATTATTGTTCCCATTTAAAGGGTTACTGTAAGCAAATAAGGACTTGCAAGAAATCATTTTCAAGCAACAATTCCTTAATCTAGAAATAAATATGTAGAAAATTGAGTTTTACAAAGAAGCCAAAAATAATGATGCATCTCAATAGCTCAGGGCCTTCCTAAACCTTTGGTTCCTTGTTTTGCTAAAAGGTACTAGAAAAATTATGCAGAAGATAATGGTCAGCGTATTTCCTGTTTCCTTAGAAGTAGAATCATGAGAGAAGATATTGCCCAAGCATAAACAAAAACTTTAAGACCGTAAGAACAGCTTGACAAATTTTTAAAAGCAACATGCTCAGTTTTCTGCTTAGATATACCAAATTTGTCAGCACTCAAGAATTATTTTTAACATTCATCTTCTTTTTTGCTTTGTTCTTGGTTTTCTCAGAAAAAAAAATTCAAATATAGCACATCCTCAGTAGGGACTAAAAATCCCATTCATAGCTTGTGTCTCCTCTTAACATATATCGATATTTTCACCAAGTGATGTCTAAGTCACGGTTTCTGGGTCCTAATGTCTTCTGGACTTGTTGGATTAAAAAAAATCCTTAACTAGGGCTTTTATTCATTGCAACTTCTGGCCTTCACCATCTTGAAGAAGGCTGATCTAGGAAGAACAACTTGTATCCAGAAGTTTATCCTAGTTATGCAACTTTTAGTCCTTCTCTACCCTGAAGTCTGTGATGGATTATTTGACGTACAATACTCTCTGGTTATTTTTTTGAGAAACCCACTTCAGCTTTCGGAGAGTGGCGTCCAGCAAGGATCTCTTGAAACTGCTGGACAGAAAGAAAAAAATCACAGGGTCAAAACAACAGTTGAGGGTTGAAATGCAAAGGACCAGTTCGTTGGCAAGATGGAGGACCTGAGAGTTCTGTTCAGAAATGATCCTCATTTGGGCAAGGATGTAGGGTATCCGGACCACATGGTAGGGGACAAAGCATACAATGAAGACTACCAAAACCACAAAAGTCTTTATTACGATTCTGGTGCTCATCCTTTTGCTGCGCTGCTGGGTTTTCTTCAGAGAGACTGCGTGGAGCCTGAGCGAGATTTTACCATAGGAAAAAAGGAAAAAGAAGAGCAAAAGGAAGAAGAAAATCACCACCAACATATTGAGTATGCCCCCGCTGGTGGTCCTGTACTTGAAATGGAAGCACTTGTGGTCACAGGGCCCACTTTTATTAGTGTCCAAAAGGAAGCAAAGCATTGTGATGAAGCAAAAGACCCATACCACAATGGACATGACGAGGCTGAATGACGTCGTGTGGATTCGGAACTGTTTCAGGGGCTTGATGATTTTGAAGTAGCGGTCCAGGCTGATCAAGCTGAGAAGCAGAATGCTGACGTACATGGTGATGTAGAAGATCATGCCTACCATCTTGCAGAGAGCTGGCGGGCCGCTGTGTTTTTGGTAAGCCACCCGGAAGGGCAAACAGAGGGAGAGCAAGAGATCAGCAATGGCAAGGTGCTTCAAGTATACTGTGATGGAGTTGGTTTTCAGACTGCCAAAAGAGAACACCCAAAGCGCCAGGAGGTTGCTGACGAAACCGATGATGGCGATGACGGAGTACATGACAGGCAGGGTCTCCATCAGAAAGCCATCCTGGATTCTACACGTGGATTCATAAGATAGGTTAGATGATCCATTACGGAGGTTCTCGCCGAGAGAGGAATGGTTGTTCATACTGCTATGGAAGGAAAATGGCAGAAATCATTAGACGATTCCATAAATTTCTTGGTAGATCATCATTTCCTAATTAACTTAGGTAAAAGTAAAGATTCCTCCTCGCACATATGTGCTAGTCGTTCTCGACTCTAGGGGGCGGTGCTCATCGCCGTTTCAAAGCCAGAGAGCCAAGGCTGTCTGAAGACATCTCTGACATCATGTGGCCGGCATGAGTCACGCCAAAGGCATACGGAACACTGTTACCTTCCCAACAAAAGTGGCCCCTATTTTTCTACTTGCATTCTTTACGTGCTTTCGAACTGCTAAGTTGGCAGAAGCTGGGACAAGTAACGGGCGCTCCCCCATTACGCGGCACTAGGGATTTGAACTGCTGAACTGCTGACCTTTCGATTGACAAGCTCAGCGTCTTAAGCCACCAAGCCACCGTGTCCCGAATTAACTTAACAAGAATGAAACTCTAGACTTGTTTCTACTCTGTAAACCATTGCTACCGCTCTCACAGGGCACTTGGCTTTGTGAAGACATACTTAAGGCCACGAAGACCACTCTGATGTGGTCATTAAGGCACCAGGCTATAAACTGGGGATCCGGGAGTTTTAGTTCCAACTTAGGCACAAAACCAGTTGGGTGACTATAGGCCAGTCCTTCTCTGTCAGCCCTAGGAAGAAGGGAAAGGAAAACCACTCCTGAAAAACCTTGCTAAGAAAACCACAGAGTCTTGTGCAGGCAATCAGCAAGAGTCAAAAACTGACTTGAAAGCAATTTTTTTAAAAATAGCCATGAACAATTAGCTTTGCAGGCACTGGGGTAGGATGTAAATGAAGCCCAGCATGATTGACAGCATATTTGTATCTGGTCCTTGATATCGTTCTTTGATTTCTATGCTATGTTTTTATTTTGTTATTGTCCCCGTGGTAGACGGGCACCCATATGCATTTGACAAATATCTAGATAGGGTACGTACGTTGCTAAGAACTGTCAATAGATTTAAATAAGCTTGATAGTGCTTTCTACATTTGCACGCGCTGAATTTGGTGGTTTTTAAAAAACGTTTAAAAATATTCAAAGATAATTTTAACCCAAAAAAAAAAAAAAAGAACAAAAGTAACATTTGTTTGCTGTAGAGATATGGACCATACAAATGTTCTTTAGTTGTCCTTAGAAGTTGAAGAAAAGCAATTGTGTTTTCCTTGATTTTTATTGGGTTCAATTGAATCTATTTTTCAGCAGGTGCAAATAGGATGCATTGTTGAGAACTGCTTTGAAAAACCTAAACCTGACTGAGAAATGGGAGAATTCGCTGCCAGCTAATTTTGCGAGACGGAGGTGTGACAGAGACATAATGAAAGTGTAGCATACCAACACACATTCAGTTTGCAAGTTCTCCATATATGGAGGCATGTTGTTGTCTGCAAACATATGTTAAACATAATGTTGCTGTTTATTTAGATCAGAGAGGTGCTGAATCGTATAAAAACAGACACATCACTAGAAGCCAAAATCACGAGGCGATCTCTGATTTACTTTGGGCGGGTCATGAGTGCAAATTCTTTGGAGAAGGCAATGATGCCAGGAATGGTTAGTGGAACAAAAAGAAGGGGCAAGCAAAGAACTCATTGGGTTGATAATATCAAATCTGATACAAAAATGAACATCCAACAACTGAAAGAAGCTGTGCTTCACAAGGTCGCACTCGCTAAGAGTCAGACACGACTGAATGGTTATAACAACAAAAAATTATTTATACAGCAACCAAGATGATTAAGGGACTGGAGGCTAAAACATGAAGAAAGGTTGCAGGAACTGGGTATGTTTAGTTTAATGAAAAGAAGGACTCAGGGTGACATGATTGCAGTCTTTCAATATCTCAGGGGTTGCCACAAAGACGAGGGAGTCAAGCTATTCTCCAAAGTACTTGAGGGTAGGACAAGAAGCAATGGGTGGAAACTAATCAAGGAAAGAAGCAACTTAGAATTAAGGAGAAATTTCCTGACAGTTGGAACAATTAATCAGTGGAACAATTTGCCTACAGAAGTTGTGAATGCTCCAACACTGGAAGTTTTTAAGACGAGGTTGGATAACCATTTGTCTGAAGTGGTGTAGGGTTTTCTGCCTAGGCAGAGGGTTGGACTAGAAGACCTCCAAGGTCCCTTCCTACTCTGTTATTCTATTCTATATGTGGGCCACCTCGTCTATTGATTCTAAGCATCTTGCAAGGATAGCCAATAAAATACTGTAGTCTAAAATCAGCATAAATCATAACCAACATTAAAGCCAGTCTTAAATATTACTGCCGGTCATATATTAGCTTCTCCTCTTTGCAAACTCTGAAGAAGAATATTGAATATTTTTGTGCTCTCTAGATTGAGATAATATATATTTTTAAAAATCCCAGGTTAATTGCTGGAGTGAACTCTTCTAAAGCAAGAAGAGATTCTTAATTTTTTCCACAATGCTCCCTGCCTGCTTGCACGTATTGGCTGGGCAAATTCTACTGGGAACAGACAATCTCAGAAGCAATTACAGCTACAGGTAATCCTCAATTTATGACACAATTGAGCCCAAAATTTATGTTGTTCAGTAAAAAACATGTGACATGAATTTGTCCCATTTTAACAACTTGCCTTGCCCCCTTTGTTAAGTGAATCACTGCAGTGGTTAAATTAGTAACACGGCTTGTTGAGTGATCCGGTTTCCCCATTGACTTTACTTGTCAGAAGGTCACAAAATGACTCCTGAACACTGCAACTGTCATAAATATGAGTCAGTTGTCAAGCATCTGAATATAAATCACAGACCACGGGGATGCTGCAATGGTCATAAGTGTGAATAATGGTCATAAGTCACTATTTTCAGTGCCGTTGTAACTTTGAATGGTTACTCGATGAACTGTTGTAAGTTGAGGACTGTATTTAGTAAATCCCATGAGCAAAGCCATATACTTATTTCATCATATAAAGATCAAGAGCACAAAATAAAAATTAAAAAAATAGAAAACCTGTCTACTTCTGGGCTCTCACATCATTGTACACGTTCCTATTTGCCTGAAAAATAATAATATTTTTTTTAAAATGTAGTTCCTAAAACTGCCCATTCTTGGAAGTGTTATTTTTGATCTTTAAATGCTGATAACTGTCAGTGAGCAGTGTGTGTAGAACAGAACAGAACAGAACAGAACAGAACAGAACAGAATAGAATAACAGAGTTAGAAGAGATTTTGGAGGTCTTCTAGTCCAACCCCCTGCTTAGGCAGGAAACTCTACACTACTTCAGACAAATGGTTATCCAACATCTTCTTTAAAACTTCCAGTGTTGGAGCATTCACAATTTCTTCAGGCAAGTTGTTCCACGGATTAATTGTTCTGTCAGGAAATTTCTCCTTAGTTCTAAGTTGCTTCTCTCCTTGATTAGTTTCCACCCATTACATCTTGTCCTGCCCTCAGATGCTTTGGAGAATAGCTTCACTCCCTCTTCTTTGTGGCAGCCCCTGAGATATTGGAACACTGCTATCATGTCTCCCCTGGTCTTTCTTTTCATTAAACTAGACATAGCCAGTTCCTGCAACCGTTCTTCATATGTGATTGCTGGTTTCTTAGCTTTCCATTATGTAGAGTTTGAAACAATAATACTAAGCTAATCACTAAAAACCCACAGACCCAAAAATCACATTTGAACTCGCTCCAATCCTCCATCATCATCACACACACCCACACACCCAAAAAATTAAAGGGGTCATGTCATCACCTACCTTGACATCTCCATTCAGACATTCACCCTGATGAGGATGGAAGCTTTCACGTGGCTTCTCTTCTGAGAACTTTCTAAAATGTATGTTCAACCAGCTGAGCTTTAAAGCTCTTGTCAGCGGAGATAGAGAGATGGATGTGGTTGGCTGCTTACGAAAATCTGTTCAGTTTTTTACCACTAGATGAAGCAGCTGAGAAAGAACATAGGGAAAAGAGATTGCTTTCTTTTTAGAGAAATAGGAAGAATAAAAAGCGATGTGGAGGGGAGTTAAGGTTTTTGGTTTCATAGTGGGAGGGCTTTGAATTCTTAAGTCTTACTTTCCTTGTACTTAGACAAGGACACAAAGTCAAAATAGCACCATCAAATGCTTATTTATTTATTTTATTTATTTTGTCAAACATCTATAGGATGACAGATGTAAGTATAAACACGATTATGAATACAAGAAATGGATACGGATAAATGGGGACAGTAGGACAGGGATGGTAGGCACGTTGGGGCGCTTATGAACGCCCCTTAAAGATCTCTTAGGAATGGGGTGAGCTCAACAGTAGACAGTCTAAGGTTAAAATTTTGGGGATTTGGGGATGAAACTACAGAGTCAGGTAGTGCATTCCAGGCATTGACCACTATGTTGCTGAAGTCGCATTTACTGCAATCGAGTTTGGAGCGGTTTACCTTAAGTTTGTATCTTGTATATACAAAATACAATCAGCTTGTATTTTGTGTTCTAATTTTTTTTGCCAATGTGTAAAACAGAGCATTTGTTGGTTGAAATTTGGAGTTGCCAATTGTTTGACCATTCTGACACATAGTCAAGGTCTCTTTGTAGGGTAGCAGCACTGTCGGTGGTGTTGAATAGTTTTACATTATCTGCAAAGAGAACGCAGTTGCTTATAATATAATCGCAAAGGTCATTTATGTAAAGTATAAAGAGTGTGGGTCCTAAAACGCTGCCTTGGGGGACACCACTGTTAACAGGTGCAGGGTTTGATAGGGTGCTCCCTATTTTGACTACTTGTTGCCTGTTTGATAGGAACACAGCTATCCACTTATGCAGGGATCCAGAAATGCCATAAGATTTTAGTTTTAGGAGTAGTTTGTTATGTACCACTGAATCAAAGGCTTTACAGAAGTCTATGTAAATTGTGTCTATTGCTTTGCCCTGGTCAAGTTGTGTAGTCCATATGTTTTTGCAGTGTAAGAGTTGCAGATTACAGGACAAATTTTTCCCAAAACCAAATTGTTTGTTAGAGAGTAGGTTATCTGTCTCTAAGTGGAGGGTAATGGATTGGTTTGTGATTGATTCAATGACTTTACAGGTGATGCAACATAAAAAGATTGGTCTGTAATTTTCAACTAGGCTGGGTTCACCCTCTTTGAAGATAGGGATGCCAGTGGCTACTGACCATAGGTTGGGCAAGGAGCTGGTCCTGAAAGATTTTTCATAGATTATGCTTAGAGGTTCTGCTATGGCAGTGGAAAGCTTTTTTAAGAAATAGGCTTTTTAAAGAAGAACTACTCGGTGGATCCTGAATAGGTTGAGAGTTGGTATGCCTAAGTGTAAAACTGATATGCTCAAGTGGAGGCTTTCAGTGGATAACAATATGTTGTGAGAATGTGGAGAGATGCACAACCTGGCCCATCTGCTGGTATGTCAGCTACTACCAGAAACATGTACTAATAATGACTTCTTTTTTTGGCCAACGATAAAGTCACGTAGGTGGCTTCATTCTGGCAGTCTAAAGTTTGATCTGGACACGGAAGAAGAAGTGGTGTGCAGATCAGATGTTTTGCTCTTTAACTACTAGCTGTTAGGAAATGTATGGATGTGAGAAAGAACATTTATTGTATGTCTGTGGGTTTGGAGAAAGCATGTGGTAAGAGTGAATGGACGTGCTATGCATTAAAATAGAATTAATGGCTGGGCTTATACTGAATGTGGTAAAAGTGGAATATTAAGAAATAAAAATGTCAGCGTAATGGTTGGCAGATTACCTTTTCATAATTGAGCAGACTTCAATTTAGATTTTTTTTTTAAAAAAAAGCCCACTCTCGTGCAAGTAGAATAATTTGTGTACCTTCTTAGAATGTTTATTGAAGGATGGAATGGATGGATGGAAAAATTCCCAGTCTTGTTTTATGTAAACTGACTTCCTGGGATAGGTTTACATACATTTTATTATTAAAAAATGAATGGATATTTCAGTGTATCATGTAAACCAGCCCAACTTTGCTAGTCACTGCCAGTCTGGAAGAAAAATGGTGGAAGCCATGAGCTTTTTCAGACTTTCCTTTACTAAGCAAGCATCTTGGTAACATTTTGGGGTTGCTTGTCTTCAGAACAAATTGAACCTTGCAACACAACGCATCACAATTTGGAGGCAGCTAACATCCTTAATTATGGACCTGGTGAAGACTGGAACATGGACTTATTCTGCACTTTTTGGAGATTTAGAGTACAAACAAAAGTGATAGTAAGAAATTGACATTCCTACATGAAAGAGGGAGTCATATAAATTCATCTGAAAGAGATAGGGAAGCTTCAAATATTTCCGTTACAGAGAGGATATTCAATTTCAGTTCCTTTTTTTTTCTGCTCAGATAATATCTTTGGGCAGACTGGTGAAACAGCAATCTTGGCAGAGATAAGTGTTTTTAGTTCTCCCAGATGCTGCCCAGGATCATGTTCCATGTAGAGCTAAACACAGCACAGTGGCTATGCAATTATGTAGGCTCTTGGCCAACATTTCTTAGGTTCAGGAGTGGGCTACTGGGGGTTTGCAGGGGTTCGGGAAAACCTCTAGCTAAGATTCTGTGCAGTTCGGAGAACCCCCAAATTCCACTCCTGGTTGGCCCCACCCATCCCATGAGTCCCCACGCAGCCCGTTTGGGATGTAGGTAAGTGCAAAGCGCGCGTGGAGGCTCGGGGAGGGTGAAAAACGGGCCTACCGGTAGTTCGTTTCCAGCCTCTGGAGGACCTCTGGAGCAGTAGTGGGTTTCAAAAATTTTTACTACCGGTTCTGTGGGTGTGGCTTGGTGGGCGTGGCATGGCTAGGTGGGCATGGCTTGGTGGGCGTAGCAGGGGAAGGATACTGTAAAATGTCCATTCCCACTCCACTCCGGGAGAAGGATACTGCAAAATCCCCATTTCCTCCTGATCAGCTGGGAGTCAGGAGGCAGAGAATAGAAGTTGGCAAACAGGCCATTTCCAGCCTCCGGAGGGATTCCGGGGGAGTGGGGAAGGCTATTTTCACCCTCCCCAGACTCCTAGAAAGGCTCTGGAGGCTGGGGATAGTAAAAAATGGGACTTCCGGTCCCACCGGAAGTTGGCAAACGGGTCATTTCCGGCCTCCAGACAGCCTCCCTTGGGAGTAGGGAAGGCCTCCCCAGACTCCTAGAAAGGCTCTGGAGGCTGGGAACAGCAAAAAACGGGCCCTCACCCCCCCACCTCCTGAGGTCCTCTGGAGGCAGGAAACAGCCTGTTTCCCTACTTCTGGTGAAAATCAGATGTCTGAGCTCGCGTGCCCACTGATATGGCTACGTGTGTCACCTGTGGCACGTGTGCCATAGGTTCGCCATCACGAGTATAGGGTCTCCTGTTTGAGCGGGGGGGAGGGTGGACTAGAAGACCTCCAAGGTCCCTTCCAGCTTTATTCTGATTAATCTAATTAATTTATGCCTCAACTAGCGCAGAGGTTCTGTAGCCACACCCATCCAACTACAGGCAGTCTTCAAGTTGCAACAATTCGTTTAGTGACCGTTCGAAAATTTACAGTGGCACTGAAAAAGTCACACAACGGCTGTGTGACCGTTTTTCACACGGCCGTTGCCGCATCCCCATGGTTATGTGATCAAAACTAAGATGCTTGGCAACCGACTCATACTTATGACGGTCACAGCGCCCACCGGTCCCCTTTTGCGACTTTCCGACAAGCCAAGTCCATGGGGGAGACCAGATTCACTTAACAGCTGTGCTCCTAATTTAAGACTGAAGTGATTCACTTAGCGACCACCATGGCAAAAACAGTCGCAAAATGGGGCAAAATGGCGTGCATAAGCCCGCCAGCGTGCCTACCATCCCTGTCCTAATGTTTTTCTTTTATTCGTATCCTTTTCATGTATTCATAATTATGTTTACACTTGTATCTGTCATAAAATACATGCTTGACGAAAATTTCATTTCATTTATTTCATTTATTGGATTTGTATACCGCCCTACTCCCGAAGGACTCAGGGCGGTGAACAGCCACAAAATAAAACACATAAATACAAAATTTAAAAACAGAATAAAACCAAATTAAACAATTTGGCCGAGACAAATGTAAAACACCCAATAATTTAAAAACAAATTAAAATTTACATTTTAAAGGGGAAAGATTTAATAAAAATAAAGAAAATAAAGAAAATAAAAATAAATAAAACTTTAGGCTCCATTGTGGTCGTAAATCGAGGACTACCCGCAATAGAGCCGTTATCACCTTTCCACGCGCCCCCCCATAATTTAAATCAGCCAATCAGCTGCTCGTGCAGGCCTCCCTTAGCCCCACTTCCTCCCTTTCCACATCCTGGCCGTTTCTAAGCAACGAGGAGGCGTCACTTCCGGCGCGACGCAGAGAGAGAGAGAAAGAAATCCCCTCAAGAAAGAAGGCACCATGCTCTCCGTCCCGGGTACCGGGGCCGGCTCTTCTTCGGGCTTCGGCTCGGGCGAAGTGTCTTCGGGCTCCGGAGCCGGCGGCGACTTCCTGACGCGCTACCGGCTGGTGTCGTCCAAGCTCCGCAAGCGCTTCTTGCGCAAGCCCAACGTCTCGGAGGCCTCGGAGCAGTTCGCGGCGCTGGCGCGGGAGCTGCGCGCCCAGGAGAGCCTCCCTTACGCGGCCTGGTGCCAGCTGGCGGTGGCGCGCTGCGCCCAGAGCTTGGGCCACCCGGCGGGCGAGGCGGCGGCCCTGGCCGAAGCGGCGCGGCTCTGGCTTCGACACGAGCGGGAGCTCCGCCTGCGGCAAGGCCCCGGCTTGGGCCTCTCCGAGTACCTGCCGGCCGCCCACGGCTGCGTGGCCTTCGCCGCTCGCCTCCACGTCGACTTGGGGCAGCCGGCGTTGGCGGCAGGGCTGTGGCTGGAACTGGGCAACGAGCTGCGCTCCGCCGGCGAAGCCAGCCAAGCTGTGCCGGCTTTTCTGCGGGCCGCCGACCTGCTGGCCGCGGGCCACCTGCCTTTAGAAGCCGTGCACGGGCTGCGCGACGTGGCCTCCTGCCTGCTGCTCGGCCGCGACTACGACGGCGCCCTGGCGGTGCTCACGCAGGCCCAGCAGCTGGCCCAAGCGGGCGGCGGACCCTCCACCAACGCCCCTGCCTCCTCTTCATCATCCTCTTCCTCCTCCCCGTCGCTGCCCGGCGCTTTCCTTGACCACCTGCTTCACTGCGAGGTCACTCGAGTGCTGCTCTTGCTCCTGCTGCAGCCTCCGCCGTCCAAGCTGCTGCCCGAACACGCCCAGACCTTGGAGAAATACTCATGGGAAGCCCTGGATGCTTCCTCGGGCTACGTTCCTCCGGAGCTTTTCTTGCTGCTCCAGTCAGCCGTCATGGCCTGCCAGGAGAAAGACTTGGAATCGCTGAAGGTTTTGCAGAAGGAACTGTGGCCGCTGCTGACGGCGGAGCAAAACAACCTGCTGCACTTGGTGGTGCAGGAGATGATCACCCCTTCCGGTCAAGGGTTCTGATTGTTTTTGTGCTCCTCGTGGTAGTTTTCCAATGCTCCATCCATGGATAGGTCTTGTGGAAGAGTCGAAAGAACTTGAGCGAAACTTCCACCGATAGTCAAGGACTGAAGTGGGAGGTGAAACTTACAATTTTTGTTCCTCTATGCGTTAAACGTCACTAAACTTCCCACAGGATGAAGTGAGGACACTTATGGGCCCCAATACGTTGGATTATATCTTCCTACCATTTTTAAACATATTTTTTTGCCTGTACCAGAGGGAGTTTTGTTCTGCCATTCCAGGTTCTTTCTACCTTGTCATTCCTTGAACTTAAAATTACGATCTTGAGAGAACTGCGCATATACTGTTGGCCCATATTCTGTTTTGCTGCTTCTTCGAATTTTTCCTTCATCCCTCAGGCCACAAGGGAAAACTATATGAGATTCGCAATTGGAACATGTCTCTTCTTTTCATTGAGATGATGGAAAGCTTTAAAAGCCATTTTGATCAGTGTCGCCAAATGTATTGTGTTCTTCTCAGTGCTGTTTTTTCTGATGGAGGCTATATTAAAATCAGCATGGATGACGGGAACAACAATTTGGGAGAGTTTGAGGGAATTTCAAAATGTTTCTATATTTGAACCCAAATGGGATTTCTAAGCTGTGTTCTCAGGGTACTGTATTGGATTAATTTCTGCCTTGAAATAATCTGAATGTTTACCTTGCTCGAGTCTTAGCTGGTTGTGTAATTGAATTTGGATCTGACAGGAGTTCTTTGAAAATAAACTGGTTTCTTAATTGGGATGTGGGAAAGTCTGACATTTTTTCAAGTAACCCTTTCCCTGAAGGTATATTCAATTTTAAATACACACTGTTAATTTTGAACAAGTGCCCCTGTAAGGACTTGCCTCTCTCCAAGAGTAAGTAAGTTAGTTAGTTATGTTAAGTTATTAGTGTAAAAAGAGATTTGTGCTGCAGCATTAAAAAACCTTGCCATATTGATTTTTGCAATTCTTTCCCATCATAATTAAAGCATTTCAGTGCTTGTTTGATTTGGGCTTAATTTTTTATGTGACATGCAATTGTGACCCATTCAACACACTATGATTAGGTAAAATGTTGGCATACTGTATTTTAAGATCAATTTGACCTCATGTCTATTGCAGGAGGAGCATTGAAGTGACAACCCTTGGCTTGGTACTGAGATTTTTAAATAATTACTATTACAGAATAATGCAAAGTGGTCTAATAATTAACGGGCATGTCTTCTACAGTGTTTTGAAAGAAGACAGTCTAAAAGTCAGCTTGGGTTCCTGCTATCGAAAACATCCCAGTCCTAACAAGAAGAGATTGAATTGCCATTTGTCAGAAATGGTATAGGGTCTTCTGCTTGCATGACAACCTATAAAGTCCCTTCCAGTTCTGTTAATCTCTTAACTTGCTTTCACTTTGTGAGCCAACTGATGTCAGTGTGCAAAGTGCTGCCTCCTGTACCATCCAATCTAACTACCAATATAACCATATTCTCAAGTGAAGCTGATTCATCCTCTGGCCTCCCGTGCAAGGCACACTTTTTTTTTTTTAATTTGATTTATATGCCGCCCTTCTCCGGAGACTCAGGGCGTTAAGCAATAGCCTTCATACTTTTGTATATTTATACAAAATCAGCTTATTGCCCCCACAAACTGGGTCCTCAATTTACCTACCTTAGAAAGGATGGAAGGCTGAGTCAACCTTGAGCCTTAAACATTTTCTGTTTATATGGGCCAAAGGATGGCAGGCAGTCTCTTGCTTACAGAGAATTCACTTAAGTCCCCCCATGAGCAATGATGATGTTATCCACTCAGTCAAAAGTCCGACTCTTGGCGATTCTGTGGGCCAGTCTTGTCACACCTTCTGATCTTGCTCTGCTTCTTTTGAGTTTTTCTATGCTCTGTCTTGTGTCAGCTTTGATGGTGTCCAGTCACTGTGTTCTTTGGTGGCCTGGCTTCCAAAGAACCGCTAACGTTTCCAAACATAATTGCTTCCTCCGGTGAATTCCCCCGCATGACACAGCCCAAATAAGTGAGACAGTTTCATTTTTGCCTTCTAGTAATATGTCTGGTATACGCGCTCCAATACTTGCTTGTTGTAAAGTGACAAGCTCCAAAAGCTTGTCACTTGCTGTCCAAGTAGTACGCAGGAGCTTAAACAAGTTGATTTTCTTCCTTTTTCTTAATGTCCAACTTCAATCATCCATAAGCAATAGAGAAAGCACTCTTTTTTCCCCCCTCCAACCTGCTGCTTTGTTGCTACTGTCTCAGTTAGGTTGAAAGGAGGGAAAGTCTCCAGGGACCATCCATCAGATTGCAAATAAGGTCCAGCTAGTAAGGGACGCGATGGCTCAGTGGCTAAAACGCTGAGCTTATCGATCGAAAAGTCGGCAATTCAGCGGTTTGAATCCCTAGTGCCGCATAACGGGGTGAGCTCCTGTGACTTGTCCCAGCTTCTGCCAACCTAGCAGTTTGAAAGCACGTAAAAAATGCAAGTAGAAAAATAGGGACCACCTTTGGTGGGAAGGTAACAGCGTTCCGTGCACCTTTGGCGTTTAGTCATGCCAGCCACATGACCACAGAGATGTCTTCGGACAGCTCTGACTTTTCGGCTTTGAAACGGAGATGAGCACTGCCCCCTAGAGTCAGGACATAAGGAACCTTACCTAGTAAGGTATTTGTCAACATTCAGATATGCGGATTTCAATTTTTCAGAATTCCCCCAGCTAGCATCCTCTGGCTTGTAATCAGGTCCTCGAATTATTATTGCAATTGAGGCCAAAATTTATGTCGCTAAGTGAAACATTTGTTAAGTGAGTTTTGCCCCATTTGGCGAGTTTTCTTGCCACAGTCAAGTGAATCACTGCAGCTGTTAAGTTGGTAACCCGGTTAAATGAATCTGGCTTCCCCCCTGGTTTGTCAGAAGGTCGAAAAAGGGGGATCCCATAACCCTGGGACACTGCAACTGTCATAAATATGAAGTGTCAGAATTTGTGATCATGTGACGTTGGGGATGCCGCAACCATCATAAAGTATGAAAAAAGGTCATATAGAAATTATATTTTCTTTTAATATAGTTTTTTTTATATATAAAATAGAAAGTCTTAAAGCAAAGGAAAAAGAAACATAATTTTAAAATTTTTTTGTTACATTTGGAAAGTAAATATTTTTACTAATTTAATGATTGTGCTCTATTTTAAACGAGCGAGTATCGGAAAGTGCAGCTCTATTATCTAATATTTTGGATTTGTCCCTATAGAGTTGATCCAAGATTTGCGCTGCTTTTTTTTTTTTTTAATGAGTTCCATAATAAAAAAGAGTCAATTCTGCCTTGTTTTAAAAAAATGCGTAAGGCAGTCCAGTCTGTCCCTTTTTACTGTGTTTTTTCTCTCCCTTCTTCTGGATTTTTTTTTTGTTAATTATAAACCACAGCTATTCCTTTTTTATTTGGAAAAAAAAAAAACGGTCATAAATCAGTTTTTTCAGTGTGTCGTCGTAACTTTGAAACAGTCACTAAAATGTAAATCAAGGACTAGCTTTGTAGTTCCAAGTCGACCCGCAAGCAAGAGAAGAGCGGGTCAGTCTATCCTTCGTTAGTCTATCTATATATTATCGATGTTCCTCACCCCCACCCCCTACGCACGCACGCGCTGGCCGTTTAACTCGACTGCCTGGGGTCCTCAAACTTGGCCGCTTTAAGACTTGTGGACTTCAACTCCCAGAGTTCTCCAGCCAGCTATCCTATGCTAAACTATGCTGGCTGGAGAATTCTGGGAGTTGAAGTCCACAAGTCTTAAAGCAGCCAAGCTTTGAAGACCTCTGCAGTCTACTCTCAATGATCCTTTCAAGCCCCGCCCCTCTGGCGCGCTGCCTGCCGGGATGGGAGACGGAAGTGGGCGGAGAGGCCGCTTCCGGTCCGAGCGAGGGGTGGCGGGACAGCGCAGCAGCGCGCGTGAGTCCGAAGCAGCGCGTGGCGCAGGCAAGATGGCGGACGGGACAGGTGGGTTTCCAGACGCTTTTGCGCCCTCAGGATCTCGAACGGCGGGCAGGGAAGAGGCGGGTGGAAAAAGACCCCCCGGGTGGGGGTGGGGGTGGGGGCTCACGAAGGGCGTCTTTTTCTCCCCGACGGCCCGGGTTTCTTGAAAGGCCCGTGAAAGGGAGGGAAGCACGTGCTCCTGGGTCGCGCGCCCGCGGGGGGTTGGAGGGGGGGGGATGCACTCTGTGCATGCACAGAAGCCCTTGAGGAGGCAAAAAGGACTGCGAGGGGAGGGGTATCCGCTGCAGAAACTTCTCTCCCGGGGGGGGGGGTTGGAAGGAGCTTCAGGGGGAGCCCCAGTTTTCCCCCTGGTAGCGCCACGAGGATGGATGGATGGATGGATGGATGGCCTGGCCTCCACGCTTCTTTAAAGGGAGCTTTTTTTTCCCCTTCATCCAGAAGTACATTTTGTGACTCCCGCAATCGGAGGCTGGCTTGGAAAATTTCATGCTGGGACGTTTTCGTTATTGCTCCTGTTATTATTTTATCCCTCCTTTTATGCATAAATGTATGTATATGTGTGTGTGTTTTATCCCTCCTTTTATGTGTGTGTGTGTACTTTTCAGTATTTCGTTTCATTATTCCACCTGTTATTTTATCCCTCCTTTTATGTGTATATATATATATATGTGTGTGTGTGTGTGTTTTATCCCTCCTTTTATGTGTGTGTATTTTTCAGTATTTCGTTTCATTATTCCTTCTGTTATTATTTTATCCCTCCTTTTATGCATAAGTGTGTGTTTTTTATCCCTCCTTTTATGTGTGTGTGTGTATTTTTCATTATTTCATTATTGCTCCTATTTTAGCCCTCCTTTTATGAATAAATGTATGTGTGTGAGTGTTTTACCCCTCCTTTTATGTATGTGTGTGTATTTTTCATTATTTTGTTTCATTATTTCTCCTGTTATTTTATCCCTCCTTTTATGCATAAATGTGTGTGTGTGAGTTTTACCCCTCCTTTTATGTATAAATATAATATATGTGTGTATTTTATCCCTCCTTTTATGCATAAATGTGTGTATTTTATCCCTCCTTTTATGTGTGTGTGTGTATTTTTCATTATTTTGTTTCATTATTCCTCCTATTATTTTATTCCTCCTTTATGTATGTGTGTGTAATTTGTTTCATTATTGCTCCTATTATTATTTTATCTTTTTATATGTGTGTATTTCATTATTGCTCCTATTATCCCTCCTTTTTATGTATGTGTGTGTATAATTTCGTTTCATTATTACTCCTATTATGATTTTATCCTTCCTTTTACGTGTGTGTGTGTGTGTGTGTGTGTGTGTGTGTGTGTGTGTGTGTGTAAAAAATAAACTCATGGCAAACATTCCTAATGCTCTGGCCCCTTCTTTTTTCCCAACAACAGCCCTGTGTGGTGGGGTGGCTTGAAAGAGAGTGACTGGCCTAAAGTCACCCATTGGGCTTTGATGGATGTATTTGATGCATGTCATTACCGAGTTTGGATGAATGCTTTGCAATGCTTCCCTGCTCATTAGTACTTTTTTTACACTGCTTTTGGACACACTTAACATTGAGTTGCATGGTTGTGTCTAATGTGAGTTGCTTGCAATGTATTGCAATTTTGTTGGTGTGATCCCAGAGTTAGAAGTTGGTGGAAGGGGGAGGGAAAAAAAAGGCAGACACGTGGTTGGATCTGGTAGGCCATTTTGGAGGATGCATCTACATTGCAATTCACCCAATGTGTTGGTGCTAAAAATTCAACCATGA